AGAATACATAAGTTAGGTGGAATGATGCCTATCGAGCTACGAAGCCAGGCCCTCGATACTTTCGTTACTTGAAATGATCGCTCGTTGGGAGTCTAGATGACTTCTATTTTGTGGCATTTTGTCGACTCACCTTTCCGCATGTAGTCTGCCGGAAAATACGAAAATTCCCCCTGCCCCTTCATCGGAAGTTAGGCGCATTTAACCATAAAGATACTCCTGGAGGATGGTGCTGTGGTTCGTGACGGTGCCGGTTCTAGATGCCCGCGTGGCGCCTTCGGAAGGGAGGTTAATGGTACGACTCCGTGGCCGGTCACAAGAAGCTGTCATGCTAACGTTAATTGTGGAGTGAGACAAGTAAAAGGGCTGCTGTTGTCGCCCTGCATTTGTGATGGTAACTTATTGTCAGTGATAAATTTTACCGAGGATGATTTATTTCTTCTCACACCAGGACGCACAGATGTGCCTTTAACATTGGGTATGTAGAATATCCGGGCTCATCTGATTGTCGTTTGGCTGACACTGACGTCGTACGCCAACGTCAATTGCTTATGCCTCTCATGGTACATCGCTACAACAGGTTCTGTTTATACTCTTCCTTCTGAGATTCAGAGATCCTGCATTAGTACCAAGGTTGCGAGTACAAACCTGTTAGCGCTGGAAAACATCGGCGCAGTGGGATATGCTGCACGCCCTACTCTGAATCAATATATCTAGTCAACAGAAGGTAAAGAAGTTCCTGTCTGCTAAGAATCAATTTAAGACGGGGATTAACATTTGACAGACGTGTTAAATTACCATTTGTTAAGATCCATATTGTCCTTATTCCTGACTCGCTTGACTGTATTTTCTCCATTTGTTCTTCTCCACCACGGATAGCAGCCTATTCCGTAACAACAGCCATATCTAGAGACGATCAATGTTGCGAATTCCTCTTCGATTACGGCTGACGTGTGTCTGATGAGAGGTAGTCATTAGTCTCATTCTGAGAGTGATATGGAACAGTGGAACAGTCTTCAAGAAAGCGCTTATCGCCGCGGAACGGATGCGGCACAATACGGGTGTACAGCAAGAAGTTGAGTTTCTTCTTTGCGGCTGCTCCGATAACGCGATTGGAAACTTTGCAGATGAAATGTTTTAACTAATAATCAGACGTCACTGGTGAGGGCGATGGCGCGAATTGCGAGCTGATCGAGGAGAATATCATTGAATTTGACTGCTTCGCACAAAGAAAACGTATGCAAACGAGTATGTTTACATGATGTGACTTGCATCTTGTGCGTTAAACAAATCTTAAATGGGATTTTGATGTCAGTGATAATTGTACCTACTATTGGACTCTTACCTCATTTATGCGAACACCCAGACGTAGTCAACTTTGACCTTGGAGAAGAGGAGGCAACACGGTCGACATCAATGTGTCCGCAGAACCAGGAGCTAGGATTTAGGTTGAAAAAGTAGCTTGGCGAGTCCTATGATGCGTGACGTCGGAAGGGTCCAAAGGATAGCCATTCGTAACTACTACTAAAAAGCACATCATTGAAAGCTTGTTTTGAAGGAGCGAGTCTCCATTAAAATATGGCAGATCTGAATGGGAAAAGGCGTTGGAAAGGCGTCGAAAAGAATTGTAGAGACGAGAGAGAAGGTCAAATGGCAGTTCGGATTAAAACGGCGTGGTGCCTCAGCACGTGACTAGCGCAGACCGGAACGCGTCTTTTCCACCACCGATGTGCGGAGGTTCACGATGTCTATGGTGACTTGTAGCCGGGCGGGGTTGGACGACTTGAGTGTGAAGTCGATGAACTGAAGGAGCAGTTAGGCAAGGATGCATAGAGATGATTTGGACAACATACCTCATAGCATTCCTCTGTGCAGAGATCGGTACTACACCGAATTCGTAGACACGCATAAGTAGTCTTGAGATCGCAGTGAAACCCTCACCAACTCCTCTCTGGGAAAAGCACATTCCTTCCCGGACGCGCATTGCTGTTACTTCTACGCGTGTTCGACGCTCATAAGTGTCTATCCTGGTCTCCTGAGCTAAACGCATATTAGTGAGTGAAATGTATCATGTCAGATGAAGCACCTAAGGTGTCCTTGAGGGTCGCGGGTGACACCGATAGTCAGATTGCGGAGGCGTACACCGAAAGGTCCTCCTGTGCACTACTAACCCGCCACACAACAACCACAAATCTCGCTTCTGCCTAACTTGCGATGCAGTGCTGATGTCGGTTGCAACATCTCGGTCGATATCGACTGCAATGTTAAAATACACTTGCCGTGGGCACCACGGAAGTGGGTGTTGTGTAGCAACGCGTCCTAATCACGTAGTCGGCGCTTAGCGAGCTAGTAATGATGAGGATGTATATGGAAGAGTTTGTGAGATTGATGCGGTCACGGAGTTATCGGGAGTATGCTGAGACGTGCCTACTGCTGTCAGTGGTCCGTTCTGCAATTGGTGAGGCTGAAATAGCAAGAGGGAGGGGGGTGAGCAGTTGTGGGAGGAGAATCTGCGTGTGCGAGAAGAAATTAGCCAACGAGAAACGGTGTAAAAATAGACTACGTACTTTGAACCCCAGGAGAACGCGTGTGTACGTCAGAGGTCCCGGCCCATTTTGAAGTCATCCTCTAACATCGCTCGAGTCTTGAAGAAACAAAGGAATTGGAGAAAAGGGATACCACTGCAGAGACTGAATAGTGATGTACGGTAGAAGCCAGAGGAAGGAACGAGTGGAGATGATGGGAACGAAGAGTCGACCACGGGCTTGCCAAACATCGTCGGGCCGTTTGCGGCATTCCTTTCTTCCCGCTTTGACAAGGCGAAAGTAACACGCAGGAAAAGGAACATGCGCATCCACTCGCGAAGGAGATGCGAAGACAAAATTGCACCTTCCATTTAGAGTCGTGACGAGTTTTCGTTCTAGTTATGACTTGGGATGACGAGATATGGTTTCCTTCCCATTCACTACAGCTGTGTGGATGTATGCGTCATTTGGATGCATCAGGAGGACGCCTACAACATACCTCATAGTGTTGATCGACATCGGACACGGAAATCACAGAAAAACACGATTTCGAGAATGCCATGGTGTTGATCTTTGAATGATATCAGCCACAAAAGACAGTGTTTTCCCTCCAACACACGTACCGGTACCTCTCCAGATCCTCCCTAACCTGCGGCACTCTATTGAACACTAGAACGCATACGGTGTCCTTGACAGTCGCGAGTGCCATGCTGCAAGAAAAAAGATTAGTTTCCTCGACGCTGATAGTCAGAATGAGAAGACGCACTTCCTAAGATCCTCCCCGGGCGTACTACTAACCCACCACACATCGATACGCATCTTCAATACTTGAAAGCCAGTGCTAACGTCGATTGCAAAAGCCTTGGTCGGCGTCGGCTCCAATCGTAAAGGACTTTTGCAGCGAGTACCACGGAAGTGGGTGTCATACTTGTGTACTGTCAGTACATAGCGACCTAGTCATGACGAGGAGAGTGGGAATTCATAGGAAGAGAATCTACGCGCGCGAAAAAGTTAACTAACGAGAAGCAACATAAAAGTAAACTGCACACCTCGGACCCCAAGAGAACGAGTATACATACCACGAGTCGCTCTGTATTGAAATTGTCTTCAAAAATCACGCCTGAATTTTAAGTCTCAAGGTAACGGAACGATTGAAGAGAAAGGCGAGTTGCTCAAGAGCAAGGAAGGCGCAGAGATGAAGAGAGCGATCAAGAGCCGAGAACAGGGTTTGCCGTTTTCCGGAACAACGGTCCGGAACCCCTTCTCCGATCAAGCGAATACGGCGCATTAGCAAAGGAACACGCACGTCCACTCATGCAAAGGTAGGCCCAAATATGCTCTCCATTTTAGCGTTCTGACGTGTCTCCGTTCTGAAAAGAAAACAAATATTTTCCATCTGTAAGCGGGCTATACTGACGAATGTCTTCTCTACCAACCTATTGGGGTCTCTATCTCAAGACAGAAGTGTCGAATTTCTTTGACTGTTTATACCTGCCAATGATATTTAGAGCTACCCGTGATTGAGATACTACTTTGGCTCACTCGGTAGGATGAACAAATAGTCAAAACCACACCTTTGACCGACGCCCACTTTGGCGGTCCTTTGATCTCGACCACTGTCTACCACTCCATCTCGCTCGTCAGAATGTAATATGTAGTCTCGGCACAAAGTTTTGACCTTGAGATAGTCTTTCGAACTAACCTTAAAGGCACGGAGTCAGGAGGGGTAGCATGGCATTCAGCCGACAGCAGTCACTGTCTGCAAATCCTGATGAGAATCCACCCCGGATTGTGTGGGCGAAATTTGTCCTTCCGGTTGAGAAGGAGTGATCTTCCTTACACGGTCTCTACCCAATCAATTTCGGATGACTCTATCGCTAGAGCCGAGATTAATATCCCGTGACGGCTCAGGTTAGAGGACCAGGTTTTCGTCTGTGATGACGTCGAGCAGACCCGCCAGGATCGTAAATGAAACATACTGATGAGGGCGGCTTCTACTTGGCGGGACGCGGGCAGGAATAAGTCACGGCATGGAAATGATGGTGCCGCTGCGATGAATTACTAGCGAGGCCACACTCGATCGTCCATACACCGAAAATCCTCGGTATATCACTTTTACCGTGGATCTATTATATGAACATGGCAGAATTCTCAATTCCGCAGTTAGACTTTATGAACGTGGAGACTAGGTGGTAACGAACTGATATCAACAAGGATCAAAAGAATGCGACGAGCCCAAATTTCCGCTATATTGAAGAGGCATATATTATCGTCTGCTTAATGTTACGGGGTTCCGGTTCCAATAAGGTTTGGATTGTCGTATCTCATTTCAAGTCAAGGAAACATTCCCATTTATATTCAGTCCATATTCATGGGTACAAGAAAGACGCGCAGCGTTATAGGACGGAATGAAGGAAATTTGAAGCAGCGTGGCAAGGATCAAACTGTGGTTGTCCAAATCCATTGGAGAAGCTACGCTCAACCAATCCTTTGCAAATACGGCTGACCACTAGCTTGCTGATTACACATCGCTGTGGTAATAGTCGCTGTAACAAAATTATTTAAATGACTCGGAACCGGGCGGGGGATAAACAGCAACAATGACTTACTTCCACGTACTCCCAAGCAGAATTCTGCAGTTGTTGGGACATTGCTAATCTCGATTTGGACAAACTAGGCTGGCTTTAGAAGGAGGACTTGAACGGGGAGAGAGGGAGGATAAACTCACATCAACGTTATTCTGTAAAACACGTCCAACAGCTTGAGAGCCTCTATTCTGTATGTGCATGAATGCCGGGGGATTAGTATTAACCTACCAGAAGCGGATGAGACATACATTGATGAAATTCCCTCATTGCTAACCAGATCCTAGAAACAACATAAAAAAGAGAGTAGTTCTGTCAGAGGAAGAACACGAACACGAAGGAGACCTCGAAACCTTACCGGTATTATCCGAAGTGGGAATGCACCTCGTAGCGGCATTCGCACCACCAGCATTAGAGTATGCCCAAGGCCATTCATCGCACTGGTACCCTCTAGTATGACCCGCCTGATATGATAAGCGTATATTAGTTTTATATGTACGATACTAAGGAGAAGGAAACCATGTACGCGGACGCTGCACCGGTTTGGGTTAGCGTTACCACAACCGTTGCTAGCACGATGGGAAGCTGCGTTGGTGCGGTCAGGAGCTACAGAGCGAGGACCGTTGTTACCTGGACGAAGGTTGTGTCAAGGGGAGAGGAGAGAAGGGGTAGACAGACGTACAGAACCAGGAACAACCTGTCGTTCAATTTAATGTCAAGTGTAAATAGAGAAAGAAGGAGACTGACAGATGTTCTCGGATGACTGAGGGTACGTCCTATAGTCGAGCGTGAAGGTGGGTCCGGTGCGCTCTACTATCTTTGTGGCGGTAGCGTTCCATGTCGCAGCAGCGTTGGACAGCTCCGCGGGTAAGGCGTGGACGCCTAAGAGAAAGAGGCAAGCAACGATGAAGAGACTCTTAAGCATGAGAGGCGAATGAAGGATCCACGCAAGTTTTCAGTTGGTAATATAGCTTTCGAATCCTCCGGTGACTTCGAAACTTATCCGTGTTTTTGGAAAGCGGCGAATCAGTTACTCATACATGATTTGTGAATAGTCCGTCTGGGGTCCGGGTAAATACGCCTGAACCTCGAACCTCGACCTCGAGTTTCACCTGCCAAGCAACGGCGGGAGTCAGAGTTTCGTACAACCTGCATATTAAAACACGCGCTCTGAAGGCGCAGAAGATAGGAAACATACATGATCATGCCAGTCATACTTGTCGACAACTCTGGGTAATTCCTTTCCAACAGGCTCGCCCATGTGTCGACTATGCGTCGGGCGAGGAGAATTCTGCGTTTGCGTGCTGCGTGCTTGCGTTTGCTTGCGTTTTGTTCGCGTTCATTTGCGTTTCGGGTCCGTTCATTTGCGTTTGCATCATTGCGTGTATATGGTGTCATGTGCGTGCCATTATCTACGAATGCGAGTGCTATTTAATGTTCTTGAGTCCTTCGAATATATCTTAATTTTCGGATGAACATAGCATGTCAGAACAATGTTATATATACTTAATGGAGGTAATTCAGTTGTTTCAGACACAACATACATCAAATAAGTTACATACAAGGTGCCCCAGATACACAATTAATTGACTGCAGGCCTAACGCAAGTCCCATCCTATGAACGCAATGCATCAACTTCGTGATGGTTGCGTCTGAATCATTAACGCACGCGTTCACTTGATTTACGCATGCGTTCACATGGTAACGCAAGCGTTTTGAACATTCTCGCAAGCGTTTAAATATTCACGCAAATGCACAGGCAGCCCACGCACGTCAAGAGACAAAAACGCATGCGTTACAAGGTTTGAACGCAAGTGTGACATACTCGTCACATTTGCGTTTCACTGGAGTTGAACTTGCCCAACATGCTTTTCGTCCTTCCGTGGCCTCGTATTGATTTATTTGGCATATCTTTTACTATAAAATACCTTAAAATCGTCTAAACTTCCCAATCAATATCCATAATAATGGTTTAACGGTGCCTTCAAGGCATTCCATTACCTACGAGGCTACCATTTCTGTGATAAGAAACAGTACAGTATTCTAGTGTCTACAAGCGAGAATCATTGCTCTCCGGTTGTCTTCAGCTTCGCTTAGCAGGTCGGCAATGATTTTCGTTAGTATCAGCTGTTCCCGAGTCATCCGATTTGGTAGGTATATCAGCCTCAGCCTGACGCTTTCCGGTACCATTTGACAGCATTCTGGGTCATGGATGTGTGGCTTTTTGCACTCGTTCTCTTTCCTCCTCCTTCTCTTGTTCCATCTTATGCCACTGCTCCAGCTCCTCTTTGTCAAAAATCCTTGGAATCGGAATCCGCTTCCAGCAGCCAGGTGCCTATCGCACGCCTAATTTTTTTCTGTTAATTGGAAGCATTAGGGAGACATCTTTCAAGTACATCACTGAGACCTACGAGGATACCCATGAAATTTTTTGAGGCAAGATCTGTGCAAGAACTCGTGGTTCACAAGTGGGCGGAAACTTGAACTAATGTTCACGGCAATTGCGTTAGCAATGCTGTACTAACTACAAGGATTTTACACTACTAGAATACATAGAATGTACTAGAATGTATGACGGTATCACTGATAAAATGAGTGCGTCCGGGGAATATGGGGAGAATGAGCGAGAATATTCATGCAAGCTCCGACATCTAAAAATAGCGATCCGTATTCTAACAAGATCTCAAGTTGATGGGCTCCCGCCGCGGCATGAGAGACTGGGTTGTGTCATGCCGCGACGCGTCTGCAGGTGAAACGCAAGGATGTCACGCACGCAAACGCAAACGCATTTCAACTAACGCAACTGACTATTTAGGAAACGCATGCGTTCGAACGCAAACGCAAACGCAGGAGCGATAACGCAAGGCAACGCATCCACGCATATGGATAACGCAGAATTCACCGTGCCCCTATGCGTCCACTTGCTCGAATATAATGGATAATGAATACAGAGAAAATCGTAAGTGACGGAAACTTGGGAGGAGATGCCTGCCAGTAAACAGTTAGTCTCACGCAGCTTATTAGACCTTGAATGTACCTTAGCAGGATTTCTATCTTGCGGGCGACATTTTCCGTTCACTTTCCGTGCATCGGGTCGGAAGTATAGCGTTAAATTCGTGTCGCGGCATTCTGTATACATTTTGTCGTAGTCTAGAACATGATCACTGGAATGTTATGGTGCTTGTGAGTTCACCGTTCTTTGCCTTCATCTTCCAGTATCTTTTCTCTCCTTCCATCTCTGACTCGTCATCCGCATCGTTGGGTTTTGGCATCTGACCGTGATCTTTCTTGGACCCGGTAGTATCTTCCAGGACTGGACTCGTAAGGGCGAGCTGAATAGTGCACAAGTGCACAATAAGTATTATTGGTGATTTCTATCACAAGATCGAACCCACAGCTGTCTTCTGCCTCTTCTTTGCACTGGTCTCATTGGACTCGACGTCCTGGAAATTTTCTTGGACAGACTACGCTTTTCTGGGACTGGTGATGATAAAGCACATTCCTTCCCCGACGCGCTTCGCCGCTACTTATACACGCGTTTGACACTAGCGAGGTAGTAATGACGAGGGTGTATGCTGGTAGAGTTTGAGAGTGGATGTGGTCACGGAGTTACTGGGGAAGTACGCTGGTTCTGCCGACAGTCTATCCTCCATCTCGTTCGCGGGAACATTTTGGCGCAATTGGTGAGGTTTGGGTGGGGAGGAGAATCTGCGCCCGCGAGAAGAAATTAGCTAACAAGAAGCGATGTAAAAATAGATTACGTACCTATGAACCGCAACAGAACGCGTATGCATGTCATTGGTGTTGACCCTTGTTGAAGTCATCGTCAAACATCGAAGAAAGAAAGGAATTGTACAAGAAGGCTACCGCTCCAGAGATTGAATATTAATAGCGATGCACGGAGGAAGGATCGCGTAGAGATGGTGGAAACGAAGAGAGCGATCAATAACGAGAATGGTCTTTGCCAAAACCAAGGATTTCCTCAAACATCCCGGTGTTATGGATCTGCCGAAATCCGGATATGCTAGCACGAGGCAAGGAGCGGTGATCGGAGCGAGGTAAGATTAATTAGAAGTGATGTACGTCGTTAGGGAATATAATGGATTCCGGCGAGGGTTCGTGAGGAGACCTGAGTGGTCCGGTTTGCGAAATAAAGGAAATCAGTAAGCGCGAAGCAATTACTGAGGGAAGTAGCCGGTAAGCGCGGAGCAATTACCGATATAGAAGGCCTGTAAGCGCGAAGCTATTACGGGCTGTGGGTGAAGGCAAGCGCTAAGCGTAACCTTCGGGTTGGTATTGGAAAGCGCTAGGCGTATCCAATGGGTTGTTCAGCAAGCGCTAGGCGTAACTGAGGGTTCACGCAGTGTGAGGGTACTGGAAGTAGTAGATTGATCAAGTGTTTCTAATACAATGTTATCTACAAATTTATATACTAAGGAAAGGTTCGAGTCATTATTATTCTACAATGTTCTATAATATTCTAGTATCAGTACGAAGAATAGAGAAAGTAACAGAAAGTACGAGTGAGTCAGTATTAAGACCGAGAAGGCCGAGTACGGGCATATGTTGACTCATGCACCGAATCAACGGATACCCGATATCCATAACACCCGGCTCTTTCCGGAATTTTTGTCCGCCGTCGAAGGTAACAAATAGGAAAACAAACGCGCATACACTCAGGACGGGAAAGGGAAGGAAAAATTACACCTTCCCATTTAGAGTCGTGACGAGTTTTCGTTCTTAGGACGCCAATAAATGGTTTCCTTCTCATACATTGCAGCGTATGCACCTGTTGGATGCGCCAGGAGGACGTCTATCCCATACCTCCTAATGTTGATCAATGTCGGTCACTAAATTCGCAGCAAAGTACTGTTTCAAGGATACTTTGATCTTCGTATTTGAATTATATCAGCCACAAAAGACAGCAACTTCAGTCCAATAGACGTACCGGTACCTCCATAATGCGCATCACTCCATTGAAATATATTCTCTCCGTGTCACCCCCTACGATAAGCAAGCAGGTACGACACGTTAGAGTGCATTGACAGTCCGAGTCGCGAGGGCCACGCTGCATGAAAAAGAGTACTCCTCGACGCCGATAGTCAGAATGTGGAGACGTACGTCCTAACATCATCCCCGGGTGCACTACTACATACCACACACCGACGACAGATCCATGACTTGTAACCTAGTGCAAACGTTGGTTGTAAACGTTTGTCGGCATCGGATCTGATGGTAAAGGACTTTGCAACGATTATTGGGAGTAGTTTTTGTGTACTGAGGCGTAGTCGCGTATAGGAAGCTAGTAACAACGAGGAGGATGGGCAGAGAATCTACGCACGCGCGAAGTTAGCTAACGAGAAGCAACGTAAAAATAGACTGCACACCTCGAATCCCAAAGGAAAGCGTATGCACGTCCACAGGTCAGTCGTCGTCAAGATCATCCACCAATGTTAAGTCGCAAGTGAACGGAACAATTGAAGAGAAAGGCGAGTAGACCAAGAAGAAGGAGAAGGGGTGGAGATGAAGAGAGCGATCAAGAGCCGAGAACGGGTTTTGCCGTTTTCCGGAACAACGGTCCGGAACCCGTTCTCTCTCACCTTGATCTGGCGAATCTGGTTCACTGGGGCATTAGGAAAGGAACACGCACGTCCACTCATGCAAAGGTAGGCCAAAACATTTCTTTCAATTATAGAATCTGACGGGTATCCATCTGGACGCGGGTTTTACTAATGAATGTCTCCTGAGTCCTGTAGCGGTCTCTCTCTCATGACACAAGTGTCGAAAGCCTTTTCTTTGACTGTTTCTACCAGCCAGTAATAGAGCTAATCGTGTTTAGGATGCTTACTGTTTTCTTATTGGCTTGCTCGGTAGGATAGACAAAACCACACCTTCGACCGTCGCGTGTCAAGGATGTGGTGGGACTTGTGTATGTCGTATCATTTTCATTGGTTTTTTCCTAACCTGATACATCATTGTCAATCATAATGTTACATACGGATTCCCCCTCCTTGTTTTACTCTCAGATTTCCTTCCCAATCGACAAAACTTTAAGGTTTATAACGTTGATGCGTTGCCCTCTACATCGTCCTTTCCAATTTGTTCTTGTGAATGCCTGTCATTTGCACTTATCTTTCCTTCGAAACGAGATCATCGACCTGGCGCGACGCCATTTCACAGCTACCGTTTTCATTCAGGTTTCTATGGACCGCTTAGTCCGTCCTTTCACCAGGCATGGCAAAAGATGACTCGCTTTCTGACGTGTTTTGCGTTGAAATGTGACATACGAGCCATTCCTATTATCATGTATCTAGTGATTTCTATTGTATTGGAGATGAGCAAGGCATTCAAGTCGTCGACAGTTCATTAGACAAGGAATTCATGATTGCAGCTCTTTCAAGTACTCAAGGAGGACTAAGGTTCCCAACTAACGGAACAATCTGAGAACGTTCGAGACATGCTTTGCTTTGTCATCATAGGGATCCTCACCCCGTAATGAGAGCTTTCAAATTGATTTGTTTCTCCCAGCATTTCCTCCGCCTTTCGTTTCTCTTCATTTATTCCTGCCAATCGTATTCACTGTCTCTTTTTTGGTTACTCACAGCGCTTATATGGATTATATGGCGATGAGAGATCATAACTTTCAAGAGATAAATTGAGATTTTGTGGTGAACGGGCGGTTTGATTTATCTATCATGGTGGGTCGTCGAAAAGTAACAAACATCGGTAAATATATGTACTCGAATTAATGCCTATACACCACACGGACGATACGAGCTTGCGAGTACTGTGCAACTAAGCAATCATTATTTCATACTTGCATGGATCAAATATGGAGGGATGTACCAGTACGAGAACGAGGGCGATATTTGGACTCCCTGGGAGGAAGGGCATAACTCCGGGAATATTTACAGGTCGACAATTCGCAATCATTAGTTTTGTGGACGTGACGTTTCTCGTCACTCGAGGAGGTTCATATGAATGTGCATGCGTTCACAGGGACGGTGTTGTGGATTGACTGATCTCGTGGCCACTAACCTTGTCGCTGGGATTCTATCTCCAGCAATAGAGATCATCCATCGCGAAACGTGTACACTCGCGTTTTCTCGGAAACCCTTTATGGGCGAAAGCCGTTAGTTGAAACGAAGCAAAGGTTGTACAAAAGGAGAGGCTCCCGTCGAAATTGGCCGTCACAGGCGTTGAATAAGACTTCCAGCGGGAGTAATCGTAACTGTAGAAGAGGTGGATGCTTTCCGTAAAATCGTAATGACCAACGAGCTCTATTATCACTTGTCAGGCCATCCTGCGCCGCCTTCACAGAGTTATTCAAAACACAGTCTAGCTACCTTGTTATTTTTGGTCAAACCCAGAAGGGGTGTTTTGAACATGACTTGAGGTGGGATCGAGATTATGATGAGACATAGGGACAGTAAACTCGCAGTAGGACAACTGAATCACTGGATGGGAGGCCCTACTAACACATGAAGACTATTCCTGAAATGAGTCTACAATGTATCCCCATCACTTATCGTCGGCATGACTTCGCGCTTAATGTCGAAGCGCATGGGAAGATAGGGAGCTGCTGAGAGTATCGTATATCCTGGAGTGACATCGAGATGCATATCTAAACGACCGCACCTCCCCCTCTAGAGAAAGGGTCCTGATTGCTGGGAGGAATATCGATAAGAGTTATCCGGTAAATGAGCACCGCAAACGTACTCATAAGTATATCATGAAGCTCGGAGAGAATAGAGGAACGATCTGCGGGAAATCATCCCTCCGTCACAATTGACCAGGCAGGCGGGCGTAAGTACTCGATCCGTGCTCAAAGATAAAACCACGATGATGGAGAATATATCGTCGAGTATAGTCTAGATTCACCTCAGGTGCTGCATCAACAAAAACCAGGAAAATAGAACAAGATGGTATTTCAAGGGTTCGACGAGTCCCGACTCAGAGTTTGCAGGCTAGGCGATCACTGCTACTCCCACCCTCCGCGAGGTGGTGATGAACGTGACGAGTCATTCTTGCTTCCCCAAGGACGCTAATACCAATCTGATCCCGCAATGAGCAAAGCGATTCTGTTAATATACACCTGCTCGATAGCGGGCCGATCTTCGGTAAATATATCTCCATTCCCATCGTCCAAAAACATAAGGGTCCGGCTTGTAAGAGAAAGTGCCGATTGACCCCACCGACAGTTGAAGAATAGGAAATTGACTTGTCCGAAATGGTATGCAATGGGGATCAGGGGATTCTCAGCCATGGCGGTAGCATGGAAGAGTTGTGCGTCTAGCGATGACGAGGCCGCAGATGCGGGATTCTCCGAAGGGGACGATGGTAGCTTCACCGATGCTCTAACCTGCTCCAGTGACGAGGGCTACACCAGACGTGTACAATTTCTTGATGACTAGTTGGCTTGGTGTTGTTGTACAAAATGACGGGATGTATTGCCTGTACTGTGATAGGCAACCACAAAACGTGGTTGACGACCTGAATGGGAACAATCAGCCATGGATGGATGCATGGGAAGGAGCTCTACAGCTGCCTCTGTAGAAATATCGGTATCGAACAACATACTTAATGTTGATGGCTCTGCAAACAAAGTCAGCCACCAAATACGACGACTTCGTTCCAAAACACGTACCTCCTCCGACTTCTAGCACATGACATTCTACCGAAGTGTTCCTTCACCGACGATGGTCCGTCCTCACCGTGTTATGATAAGTGGGTATTACCGAGCGAAACGTGTCATAGAGGCTAGCGGATGGCAGTGTTTGAGGAGAACACGGAGCAAGGCGAGACACGCTGCACAAATGATGTC